GTGAGGCCCATGTGAAGGCTGGAGGGACAGGGTTGGAGCGTTGTCCTCCCGTTTTCCCCCATTATCACACTGTCAGGCTGTGAGACTGACCCATTTCCTGTCCCATCCCTCAATCCTCCCTCTGCATAGTATAACTCCCCCCTCCTCCCCACACCCCCCACTCCCGCCCCCAAACAAAAAAGGAGAAGCAAAAACAGTCCTTCAGGTCTTCCTGCTGTGTTTTCTCTCTCCTTGGGCCTTCTGATTCACCCCTTGATCTCTAGAGGATCCCTGGTTTGTGGGCCACTCTGGTTTGAAAGGCAGGGCAAGAAGCAGGAAATGGGTCACCTTAGATCCAGGAAGGGTGGAAGGGAGGCAAAGGACAGTATTTCTCTAAGTTTTAGGTAACTTCAGCCTGGCCCAAAGGAAGTTTTTACATGGCTTTTACAAATCTCATGTGTACTTTTTTTAATGGCCCACCCTGGATTCCAAATTCACTCCAGTAGCTAATTTTATCTGCTTTGCCAAACGCAGAGCTCTCTGGAGCCCAAGTAGATGAATGCTGGCATTGAGAGATGGTCCAAAGGACAGGAATGAACTCAGTTTGAAACCTGAGTAACTTGTAACCACTTCGTGTCCATGCACAAGTCTCAGGCTAAAAACATGGGGGAGAATGTTCTTGAAGTGGAGTTCTGAAATGTAGGCTGAACTGTTTGGTTTAGCGTTTCAACAAGTTCTTCTCTCTGACTCTGCTAGAACTGTAGTTCACTTTACAGTGTGACTTAAAGCTGTCTTTCTCCTGTTCGTTTCCATCTGGGTCTTGCTTAATTTGAGTCCTTTGTGAAGATTCCTGCCGAGGCTATAATTTGAGTTCTAAATTCGTCGGGGGACCATGTGGACACAAGTTTCAACTCGAGCTATTTTCTTCTGTGCAGAAGTGCTTGGAGAGTTTCCTGGGCCCTCTGCTCCTGGGGTAGTCAAGTCCAGGCAGGAAGGTGCTGCAGACCTGGTTGCTCTCTTACTGCCTCTTCCTGGTCAGTTGCAGGCACTGCCCTGAGGGGAAGGGTACGGATGGTGGGGAGCTTGGGGGTTAGGGTTTCCTGAGACAGGGCAGAGAAGAGCTGGCACATATTTATTTTAAATGAAACCCATAGGACCAACAGGATGGGGTGTTGGAAAGAGAAGGGGGAGCTTTGAAGCCAGAAGGACCTGATTCAGGTTTTGGTCTGTCCTTCCTAGTTGTGTGGCCTTGCACAAGTTAAAATGCAAAATCAGCACGTTACTAAATATTTGAGGGCCACATCTCAATGAATGTGTGTGAAGGTGTCCACAGATGGGAAGTGCTTCCTAGACATACGAATGAATGAATCTGAGGGGAGGCAGTCAGTATAGACATATGAATGAATGAGTGAATGAATGAATGAATGAAGGGGAGGCAGTCAGCATAGCACCTAGCACATGATTGGTGTGCAGTAAAGGTTGTCTGTTGTGCTTATGAGATCAGGGTTCCAGACCAGGAAGCTTTTGACATTCTGCCAAGGCTAAATATGCCCATAGAGAAAGAAATGTGGTATGTTTCTTGCAAAACCCACTATCACCCTGGGTCTTGTAGCATTTTTCTGTGTTCAGATAGCAGCTATGAGATGGACTTGCTGCATAGCAGGCATTTGCTGTGTAGAAGGCATTTGGCCTTGTCTTCTGCTTCTGTAAAATGGGGTAATTTGTAAATGGAGGGCAAGTAGGGAGATGTACTATAATTAGACTGTCGGCAAAGTAGAAGACTATAATGAACTTTAAGAGTTGTGGGAAGAAAAAAATAGGTGAACTATAAACCTAAAGGATCATATTCATATTTTGGGACTGCTTGAGTGAGCAATATACAGCAGTTACCTGGTGAGTGATCTCTTCTTACACAATAGAACCTTGAAAGAAGAATGTTCTTTTAGGGTAATGGATCAGATTTGGGGACAAAAGACTGGAAAAGTGATGTACAAAGGCATTTGCTGTCCCATAATAATAGTACATTGAGAGGGCCAGTGTGTGGCTTAGTGCCCATGAGGAGATCAGAGTTCACCTCGAGCTCCCAGGATCTAGAGAGCTGTGGAAGATGGTAACTTAGGGTGGGGGTGGAGGTAGGGGCTGGGGTGGGCAGGACACTTTTTTTGGGGGGTGGGGGAGGATTCTTTCTTAGCAATTACTGAAAGCCCTGAAATCATGGCCAGAGAGTTGGGCCTAGCCTTTTTCACTTACTAGTGTGGGGACAGATGGCACACAAATATGAGTGAAATAATGGGTGAAAATCTGAGCTAGGCCTCCACTGGGCTACTCCCAGGTTTGAAGGATTCCCCACCTGCCTTTGAAATTACTCCCTCTCCCTCCCTCTTCCCCTCTTTACTTTCTTCTCTCCCTCCCTCTGCCTCCCTCGCTATTGAGGCAAAGAATCCACCAATCTTAAATTTCTCTCTTTTTAAAAAATTTTTTAAAAAAATGTTTTATTTTTGCGAGAGAGAGTGCAAGGGGGGAAGGGGCAGAGAGAGAAGGGGACAGATGATCCAAAGCCAGCTCCTCATTGCTGATAGCAGAGAGCCCAGTTTGGGGCTCAAACTCACAAACCATGAGATCATGACCTGAGCCGAACTAACTGACTGAGCCACGCAGGTGCAGTGCCCCCTCTTAATTCTTCTAAAGACAGTTATTCCATTAAAGAAAAAAGAACAAAGCTTTATTATTTTTAAGATATAAAAAATAAAGTAAATAACTCTAAAGGGCTCACTATCCCTTTTGAAATTGTTCTGTGTCTTTTTGTGTCACAGGCTTCATTCTGGTGGATGGTGGCGTCACCACCAAGTCTCTTATCTAACAGGAAGTTTTTTAAACTTTTTTTTTTTTTTTTAATTTGAAAGATCCTTACAGCAGTAAAAACCCTTGGATAGTTAGAAATGATATTGATCTAGGTACATTTATTAGATGTAATGTAACATGGTTATCTGTTGGTGGGGAGCTCTAAAAGGCATATGGGTCCCAACACTGCCCAGCTTCTAACTCTGGACGATAAACTGTTGATTTATATTACTGAAATAGCTAGGGAAGTCAGGGTTTCCTTCCTGTTGGAGACAGCACTGGGGGCATTAAATCCCTGTAGGATCTTAATGATAAGAAAGAGACTGACCTCTTCTGGAATTGGGAAATAACTACTGTATGAAGTTGTTCCATCCAAATGCATGGAAGGTGTTATTTTTAATTTCTAGTATTAAATTTGGCTTTTTCCTGTCTGTAGCCTGGCTGCTTTTGTTTATTGTGGTGCATTGTTAGAATAATAATTTATCTCTTCAAACCGGCCTATAAGGGACAGTTTGAGCACTCAACTAAACAAGACTTTTCTTGTGTGGACATAAGGTAGGGCATTAAAAAAATTTTTTTTTAACATTTATTCACTTTTGAGAGACAGAGCATGAGTGGGGCAGGGGCAGAGAGAGAGGGAGACACAGAATCAGAAGCAGGCTCCAGGCTCCGAGCTGTCTGCACAGAGGCTGACGCAGGGCCCGAACCCATGGACTGCAAGATCACGAACGCACTGAGCCACCCAGGGCCCCAGGGCATTTTTTTTTTTTTTAACGCAACTTAAATTGGATTGAAAAATAGTGTTAAATATTCTGGCTCATGTAACTTCCTATATCAGCAAATAATCCAGCAGTAAATGTTTGTGTGACGACGTTGCACCAGGTTTACCATGCTGGGTGCTGGCAGCCTAACAGTGAGTAGGATAGATGAAGTCAGCTCTCAAGGAACTTAATCCCAGTCACAGAGAAGAAAACAATCAAATGAAAGACTATTGCAGAGCTTCTTTGGGAATATCCCTGGATGTTGGGAGTTTGGGGTGGAGTTTCTTGGAGGTTTAGAAGTGAAACCTCACTACTACTCTAATTTACTCACTGGACTCTGCTTCTGTTTCCTCCATCTTAAAGGAGGCAAAAATCATGGCATTTTCCTGGGTGATTGTTGGCTGTTGGCACTAGTTGATTCAGGATGACTGTGACTATAATCTGAGAAAAAAGAGAATCTGGGATGGTCACTGGCAGGAGCATTTTCAGCTTCGCTTTTCTTGAAGTCAGTGGCAGTGTGTTTTTGGAATCCTGTGGCATTTCTTCATGGCAGTGCATGTTATGCACAGAGATAAACAGCTCTAAAAGCCCTCTCGCCTTGTTTGAAATCTTAAAAGAAAATTCAGACAAGCAGAGTGCTTGGCTGTTGTTTATGGTATGGGAAAGAGTAGTGAGCTTTCAAATAGATAGACTACTTTGTTGTGCATTAGTAGGTTGTTGGTGCACAGTTCCCTCTGCCCTAGGGTTCCCTCTTATACTGGGGTTGGAGAAGCACTAACCTTAACCTTTCCATGATGTCAGATTTGATGTTAAGCCACATAGGTCAATTATGTGACAGATGCTTTTCTTAAGTGTATTTGTGAGGGGTGGAGCCGGAGAGCAGGGGTGGAAATTCATTCAAGACACATGCTTCAAGAGGAGAGAGAGATTATAAGGAGAGTTTCTGGTAGTGTTTTGCTTTCCTTCAAAGTACTGACTTAGAGGTGAAGAGGCAGGCTCTGGCCGGAAGTGGGCGTGGACAAGTAATGCAACTGCATGTGACCAGGCTCCCACCTCTGGGCTTTGCTGCCCTTGGGAAGTGGATGCTTGCTCCCTCCTCACTTCCTGTTCCCTTGCCCTCCAGCAGAGTTCTTGGGCCCCAACTTGAGTATAGAAAATACATTCAAATTCTCACTTTTTTTTTTCTTGGTAAGCTGCTTTGTTAGAGCTGCGATCCACCAGTGGACTTGCACTTGGCAGTTTTGGAGGCTCAGCTAATGTGCCTACAAACTTAGGACTATCTGGCAGGGTAGCCAACAGGATGGCTTTCTGTTGCATTATCACAGTGTTCCCTGCAGGAGCTTGCCTGTAGAGGGCTGCTCTGGAGATGTGTATAGAACTCAAGGAAGCAGACATTAGCAACGTCCTTCTGCAAGAGTGTGTTCTTGAAGAATGGTTTACTATTATTTGTCTTTATTACTTTGTAAAAGTACCCTCTGTGCAGTAGAAACTTTAGAGCCAGAAAGACTTGGGTTTGTATACAGATTCTGACACTTGCTGGCTCTGCGACCTCAGGGAAGTGGTTTAACTCCAAGTGGCCTAACTTCTTTGAGTCTCAGTTTCCTCATTTGTGGGGTAGGGATGGTAAGCATGAAGCAGGTGGCCAGATTGTTGTAGGCGCCCGATAAAGGTAGTTGTTATGGAATCGTATCAAAGCTGAATGGCCCTCTTAAAGTTGGCACTCAAGTTTGGATAACTAACTACTTATGCCAGTTAATACTGTCTGAGAGTAAATCAGTCCATGTTGGGGCCACAAGCTGGGTGCAGCTGAGGACCGGTATCTAGAGGTTCCCAGATTGGTTGATTTTTTTCCCAGTGAGTTCTCTCAGTTCACTATGGCTTTGTGCTGCTGTGTATCACTTTGGTGTACTTACTATATAGACTTTCGGTGCCTCCTGAAGCATGGATAGGGTGACTGGGAAAAGGGCTCAAACTGGAGGGTGGGTAAAGGAAGGGTGATAGAGCTACTTGTTAGGTGGCTAGGCATTCTGGGGAGAAGAACAGCATAGGCATGGGCAGGGACCTGGAGGTTAAAAAACAAAACAAAACAAAAAAACAAGGTGAGTTCTCTTGACCTGAGGAGGTTATGAACATTGGAAAGTCAAGAGTTTGAACTGAGCACCTTTGGCAAGAAAAGTCTAAAGTTTACCTTTAAAGGTGTAGAAAGTTTTATAAAATGTCCATAGTAGGAAAGTTCAATTCAAAATTGAACTCAGATTAAAATAATATTTAAATTGAATTCTTAATAAACATTTTCAATCAGAAATCAATGATGTCCAGTGAAATCAGACCATCTGGACTCTCTTTGTACTGGTATGTAGTCTACATGAAGTTTAATCTCCTAAAGAGCTTCAAGAAAACAGATTTGGGGGCTGCTTCTGAATTATTATTATTATTATTATTTTATTTATTTATTTTTTTTTTGAGAATTGTTATCATTTAAGCTGGTCTAAAATTCTTAACACAGCAAAACAAATTTTTAACTTGCATGGCATTTTCAAGGTTTAGGTTTTATACTTAGGAAACTTTCAAGTTACTGATTTATTTATTTAAAAAAATTTTTTTAATATTTATTTTTGAGAGAGACAGAGTATGAGTGAGGAACTGGCAGAGAGAGGAGACACAGAATCTGAAGCAGGCTCCAGGCTCTGAGTTGTCAGCACAGAGCCCGCTCTGGGGCTTGAACTTGCGAACCACAAGATCATGACCTGAGCTGAAGTCAGACGCTCAACCCACTGAGCCACCCAGGCTCTCCTCAAGTTTTTTTTTTTTTTTTTTTTTTTTTAAGTTTATTTATTTACTTTGAGAGAGTGGGAGAGAGAGGGCACGTGTACCCATGTGTACTGATGGGGGAGGGACAGAGAGAGAGGGAGAGAGAGGATCTCAAGCAGGCTCCGTGTTGTCAGCCCAGAGGCCCGTGTGGGGATGTGGGGCTCGATCTCATGAACTGAACTGTGAGATCATGACCTGAGCTAAAATCAAGAGTCAGATGATAGGGGTTCTTGGGTGGCTCAGTCAGTTAAATGACCAACTTCGGCTCAGGTCATGATCTTGCAGTCTGAGTTTGAGCCCTACATCAGGCTCTATGCTGACAGCTCAGAGCCTAGAACCTGCTTCAGATTCTGTGTCTCCCTCTCTCTTTGCCTCTCCTCTACTCGCACTCTGTCTCTCTCTCTTTCTCTCTCAAGAATAAATAAACCTTAAAAAAAAAAAAAGAGTTGGATGCTTAACCAACTGAACCACCCAGGCACCCTGAAACTTTCAAGGTTTATATTTAATCTCTCAATGTATCGCTATTGAAGGTTGACTTTTGACTTAAATTTGAAATAAATATCTTATTCTTCTGTTAAACAAGGAGTTGGTAAAATGTAGGCCTGATCAAGTCAGCATGCAAAAAGGCATGGGTGTTTTGTTATCAAGCTGTGAAGGAGAAAACCAGAAAGACCCATCCCCTGTATATATATATTTTAATGTTTATTTATCTTAGAGAGAGAGAAAAAGAGACAGAGTGTGAGTGGGGGAGGGGCAGAGAGAGAGGAGACACAGAATCCGAAGCAGGCTCCAGGCTCTGAGCTGTCAGCACAGAGCCTGACAAGGGGCTCGAACCCACAAACCAAACCATGAGATCATGACCTGAGCCGACAGACGCTTAACCAACTGAGCCACTCAGGCACCGCCCCCTGCTCCTCTGTATTTTTAATAGGAAATGCTAGACACCAGGGTAGGAAAGGGTGGGGGATACCCATCCTGTCAGGAAAACTTTTGGGAAAAATGTTTTACCTCCTTCCTATGTCAGGTTGGAAGATCTGCTATTTAACAATCAGGGAATGGGGTATGAATTGGATACCAAGTGTTAAAATATTTTTTTTCATGTCTAAATCATGGATGGGATGTTTATTAACAGACCAGTGATATGACTAACACTCTTTCTTTGCTAAATACGTTTGAATAGGTTCATCTCTAGACCTAAGACTAACATAAACGTTTTTTTTCTTTTTTCTGGTAGCTTTTTGATTTTTCCTTAAAATTTTTTTTAATTTTATTTTTGAGAGAGAGACAGCGAGGGAGGGGCAGAGAGAGAGGGAGACACAGAATCCAAAGCAGGCTTCAGGCTCTGAAAGCACAGAGCCCAGTGCGGGACTTGAACTCACGAATTGTGAGATCATGACCTGAGCCAAAGTCAGAAGCTTAACCTACTGAACCACCCAGGTGCCCCAGATGTTTTTCCTTTTAATTCTTTAATTCATAGAAAACATAGTTCACTTACTCACTTTTCAGACTTAAAATTGCTAAAATAGGTGGGCATTTTTTTTTGTAAGCCACGTATAGACACAAAAGAGATAATCCTTGCCAACTGGTGACACACACAGGTGAAGACAGAGTGGGAGATATACTTCTGGGTTCACAGTAATACATCTAGCAGTTTGTTTTTAACCCTTCAGGGGAGCATTTGTAAGCAGAACTCTGTAGTGTTGGGACTTCCTCATGGCCACACAGAGACTAAGTACAGATGGAGCCTGAACTCCATGTTGCCCAGCCACTAAGTATACGGAATTGTGGTTAGAAACGGTTAGAAACGACATTCAAAACAAAACAAACACATGCTGACAAAGTGGCCCGTCTCTAGAGAGCTGTGTTTTAGAGAGCTTTTCAGCATATATATGACAGGGATGAGGCAAACAGGTGCAGATATGTCTCCCACAAACTCCTAATCTAGCGTAAGAATGCTGTGATTTAAAAAAGGACATTTGTGGGGCACCTGGGTGGCTCAGTCAGTTAAGCATCCAATTCTTAATTTCGGCTCAGGTCTCTATCTCACTGTTCATGAGTTTGAACCCCGGATCTGACTCTGCCTCGCTGGCCTCTGCTCTGACAGTGCAAGCCTGCTTGGGATTCTCTCTCTCTGCCCCTCATCCGCTTGTGCTTGTGCGTACATGCTCGCTCGCTCTCTTTCAAAATAAATAAACTTAAAAATAAAAGTAAAAAAAAAATGACATTAGTTGTATCGGTTACTTAAATTTTTTAATGCTTATTTATTTTTGAGAGAGAGAGAGAGAGAGAGAGCAAGCCAGGGGAATGGCAGAGAGAGAGGGAGACACAGAATCTGAAGCAGGCTCCAGGCTCTGAGCTGTCGGCACAGAGCCAGATGCGGGGCTCGAACCCATGGACGGGACTGTGAGGTCATGACCTGAGCCGAAGTCAGACACTTAACCGACTGAGCCACACAGGCGCCCCTGTTATAGCAGTTATAATGCACTGGGAGTGTCTTGTTTTTCATAAAGCATCACTGTAATAGTTCCTTTAACTGTTTTCTGGTCCTTGAAAAAAGTACCAAAACTATCAAAGTACTAAGGAAATCACATTAACATAGAAATGTTCCTTCCCTTTCACAACAAATTGCATTCTAATCTCACCAAGTGAATGTGAATTTAGGGTGAAATAAGAAACTATAAAACAATCCTGAGAGATTGTGCTTACGATTGTCCCTAAACTCAGTGAAAACAGTTTTAGACTTGAGTTATAAAAATGCAAAGTGTGGAAAGCGGTCAGTGATCTTTTCATAAAATACTTTAAAAGAGATTTGGTACACTTTTGAATAAACAACCTGTTTATTCTTTAGAGAACTTCTCAGAAAACAAGTGGGAGCCTAGGGTCACTGATAGCAGTAATCTCAAAATTGGTTAAAGCCTACAGAACTAGGTCTGCTTAGCCTGCAAATTTAAGTAATTAAGTGACAATACATTCTGTGTTTTGAGACAGGCATCTAGAAAGTTTAAAGGATAATGAATCCATCCCTTTTCAGCCCTTTCTGTCTCCAAAGCCCCACACTCCAGGTGTGGCCAGCTCTGGTCTCTGCCTCTGCTCTTCTGGATGCCTGGGATGTCCCATCTGTTAAGAACTGGCCCACATGTCACATCCAGAAAGATTTCCCTGATTCCTCCCCAGGCAGGCAGTAGCCCCTTCCTCTGTGATTCCTGTCTTTCCTATGAATGCATTTTTTGCATTGAAATCTTCTTTCTGTGCCGCCAGCCTGTGAACTTCTGGGGATGGTGCTTGCAAAACCTTTGGGGTGAGTGGTCTCTTAGTTTTTCTCCATCAGTGTTTATCACATAAGATATCTTGAATTTTGTCCACCCAGAAACTTTTTTTTTTTTAATGTTTATTTATTTATTTTGAGGTGGGGGAGGGCAGAGAGAATCCCAAGCAGGCTCCGCACTATCAGTGCAGAGCCCGACAGGGCTGGAACTCATGAACAGTTAGATCATGACTTAAGCCGAAATCAAGAGTCTGACGCTTAACCTACTGAGCCACCCAGGCGCCCCTCCACCAAAAACTTTAAAGAAGTCTCCCAATTAAAAACAAAAAAATACAGTACCTTAAACATTCAGTAGGTGATGCTACTCCTTTTCGGTTTCATGCTACTGTGGTGCCTTTGACCAATTTTCTGCCATGAAAGAGGAAAGGAATATGGAATTTGGCCCAAATTTCTTTTCTTCAGTCTCTCTTTTGTGCAGGAATAGGCTCAGATGGTATTTAGTAGAAGTTTATTTAACAGTACATTAGAAAGATAATTAGAATATTTTTGCAGTGGTTGGGGCAGAAGGAAGCCTGGCTGTTATTAGTAAGGATCTGATCTTTGAAGGATATTAAATTTAAAATGAATTTGTAAGAAAATTCTGTTTAAATAACAGAAGTTTTTTTATTTTAGAACAGAAGTGTTTTTTTTTTTTAATTTTTTTTTCAACGTTTATTTATTTTTGAGACAGAGAGAGACAGAGCATGAACAGGGGAGGGGCAGAGAGAGAGGGAGACACAGAATCGGAAACAGGCTCCAGGCTCTGAGCCATCAGCCCAGAGCCTGACACGGGGCTCGAACACACAGACCGTGAGATCGTGACCTGGCTGAAGTCAGACGCTTAACCGACTGTGCCACCCAGGCGCCCCAGAACAGAAGTGTTTTTAAAAGTATTATATTAACTGGTATCTGTCAGTATTAATTGACTGCCTTGTTTTTATGGCCAAGGGGAAACTGAGAAAAACATGGTTCTAGCCCTGTATGGCTTTTAATTAGTTTCTTCAGCTTTAGCATGGAATCTAAAGGCGATTGCATCATATTTCATAATCACCTAGCTGAACTATTTGCCGTTTAGTCCAGCACTAGGCATTGAGGTAGCAAGGTCTTTAGTCTGAACAGCCTGAGCTGCCTGCCTGAGCTTCGAGGACTCTAAACAGGTCTGGATTTACTGTCGCTTTTTCCATCTACACACCTGGCCCCTCTCTTTCTATCACAAAAATAAACGCTTTAACTACTTCACCCTACCCCCACCCCCGCTTTCCCAGCTGGAGATGTTGGCACTGCCCTCTGGAGCAGCCCACCTGTCACTAGTGCACACCTCAGCCCACAGGGGTGTGTCATTAATATGTCGCAGCTGATGCCTCTCTCTTTAAAATAGGGTGGTTGTCACCTTGGTGACTCACACAGGGCTTGCCAGCTCAGACACTGGAATCTCTACATCTATCTCAAGTCTTGGGTCTCCCACCTGACCATACTTTGCTGTGTCTGTAGTTAATTAAGTTGGCATTAATCAAGACCCAGGTGAGGAGCTGTGAGGTAATATTTTGCTTGTATTGCTTTAATATACATCATCTGATTAATGGTCCTACAGTAAAGCAGTTCTCAAAATATACAGCTGCTGAATTACAGTGAAAATTTGGATATTTGCTTTTAACCTATTCTTGCACTGGGATCAGGGAGTTCCTGCATTCCTATACCAAGTCACCTGTTTGAGAATAAGACTATTTTTGAATTTGAACAATTGAAATTCTTTGTAGCAAAACAAATTGCTGACAAAATTGGGTCAGGGAAGGCGTTTGGGGTCAACAGTTTGTATTTTGTATCATTTTTAGCTTGAGGAATGCTTGCTTTTGGCCCAGGGGAGATTGTGCCAGATGTTGCATTAAGCAGTTGGAAGATTTGGGGAGTGGGGTGGGGGTGGAATCAAGGACAAAAAGTTGCCAGTTATGCGTGAAACTCAACACAATTAAAATGGGCTTTTTTTTGAACTTCTTATTGTGGGTAGCATATAGCAGAAAAACAATTTGTAAAACTTGTTCTACATTGTTTTTCAGGTTTGGAGGCAAGACCAATGGTGGGTTGAAATTACATTGAATCTCTTAAAAAATGAAATAGAATAGTTAATATCAGAATACACTGCAAGTAGTGAAAGTATACTTGGTAAAACTTGTTTCAGTAGTATGAATATGTATTAAGATGTGTTATAAAACAAATTAAAAGCCACTATTCAGGAGTCTAGGTGTCTTATCACGAATTGTTTTAACTCTGGAAAAAGAACATGAAAAGGGCCTTTTCTGTTGATTCTTCAAAACAGTCTTAATATTGGGAGCCTTCTTGTAATATTAGATATTTTGTGTTTCTATTGAAATTGTGTTTCCCTATATATAGTTTAATATGTCCAAAGCCCATCATTCTCTCTCTCAGGTTAAACTGTGTTTCCCGTGTTTCCTCTATGTCACAGAGAAAGTAAGGGTGCAGATTTGCTGTCTTGGTGTGTGTGTTGGGGGGGGAGGGTTCACCTTCTCCCAGAGGCACGGGGTAGGGGTGGTGCCGATTGGGAGGTAACTGGAGAGGGAGAGCCGGCATCCTCAAGTGTCTTGAAGTGGGTGGGTCTGGAGCTTACTTAGAACTCTCTTCACTTCACAGAAGTGATGGTTTAGCCGACGACCCCCGCGGGGGTGGCACTCTAACCTCCGTTTTCGGAAGCAGCTGAGTTGCTCCAGGTCTTGTAGCTCAGCCTGAGCGAGGTCAGCAGTGAGCGCGATGTGAGTCAGCCCTGGGCGCGGTCCTCCCGGCTCTGCTGCCGGTGAGCTGGCGACGACCCCTCGGCCCTGCGGAAGGCTCTGGGACTCGGCGCGGGGGGGGGGGGGCCCCGGGCAGCCCGCGTGGGAAACCAACTGGCAAAGTAGGGAGGCGCGTGGAGCGCGGTCGGCAGAGGCTGTGTTTCCGGGGCGGTGCCGGCCTGCTTTGCCCCGCCCTCCCCTCATCATTGCCCCGCCCCTACAATAAGGCCACGCCCACCGACCATCTGTCCCCGCCCAGCCAGGCGCGGGCGGGCGGCGTCGCCTTTAAGAGCTCCCCGGTGTTTTGGGGGCCGCGGGCCGGGCGCGCTGACCTGGTGCGCATGTCCCGGGCGGTGACGCCGGCGCCGGGCTCCATGTGTGCGGCCGAGGGGCGCATTATCTGGCCGGCGGCGCGGGCGGGCGGGCGGACCGGCGGAGCGAGCGCCGCGGGCCCGGGCGGCCCCACAGGCG